AAGTAGAGAACAGAACTTGAAATGAAAACACATTGGTTTAGAATTTACAAACTAGAGACTCAAAGTGGAGAATGGTTCTTTGCTTGAACACATTTGAGGTGAGTGTAGAGTTGCCATGCCTCAACTAGATGATGTCAAGGTTTATTCAGACTCGACAGGGTATCATTTGTCTAGTTTAAACTCTACCATTTTGCTTTCCCTGGGTAGTTATGGTAGGAAAAATCCTAAAGTGCCCCCCCCCCACACACACATACACAAGACACCCTCTCAGACAATCAAAAAAACTCTATAATCCCTGGGACTGTTCATATGATAGACCTCTCTTTTAAGATTGAATTGCATCAGGCAACACATCTGACTCTAAAATGTTATCTACTAGTGGGTGGACCACAGAAGGGGTTTGTGATAGTTAATCTTTTTTGTTTGTTTTGCTTTTTGAGGCAGGGTCTCACTATGTAGTCCTAACTGGTCTGCAACTTCCTGTGTAGACCAGGCTGGCCTGAAATTCAGAGATCTGCCTGCCCCTGTTGCCCCAGTGCTGGGATTAAAGATGTGTTGTCAACATACCCAGCCTATGTGATGGTTAATCTTGATGGTCAAATTAATTAGAAAGATGCTCAGGTTAGTATGAAGACTTCTGAGTGGGCCTGTGAAGTTGTTTCTTGAGGCAGATCATGAAGGCTTTTTGACCTAATGGGTGACAGATTCAAAATCAGAGTAGACAACTAGAAGGAGGAGAACTGTGGAAGCTAGAGGAAGTAGGTCACTGGGGGGCATATATTGACCCTGATCCCTTCCTGTTAATCCTCTCCCCTTCCTGGCTACCACATCCCTTTATACCCTTTCTACGGTGGGTGATGTTCTGCCTTGCCTCAGGCCCAAAGCAGTGGAACCAGCTAACCAGGGACCAAAATAAATCCTTCTTCCTTTTAACTGTTTCTCTCGGGTAGGTACTTGTCACAGCAACAAAAAGTCTGACCAACACAGGGTTTCCTTCAGCTGGTTGCAGAAGAAACTCAGGTTCATCAAGATGTTAGAGATATATAAGGCTCCCTGGCTTGAAGCTGGGGACCCCATGGTAAAGAATACAGATGGCCTCTGGAAGTGGAGAGTGGATCCCCACTGGCAACCAGAAGGAAACTGGCCCTCAGTTCTACAGTGCTAGAAACCAAAGGCTTGTCAGTAAGAATGAACTTGGAAGCAGATTTCCCCCCACCACCTCCAGATAGGATTTTGTCAAGGCTTCTTTAAGCCACATGAGACCCTAATCAGGGAGCCCAACCACACTGTGGGGGACCTCCTCACCTTCAGGACTGTGAGCTAATGAACAGGCCTTGTTTCAAACCACGGAGTAATTAGATACACAGCAATGCAAGGCCGCTACCAGACTTGGGTGTATGTATGCACGGCAAAGGTTTGGGGACAGTCAGTTCCTTCATATTCATATCTTAGAATTGCACTAACTGTACATTACAGTTGTTACATGTACAAAATGTAGTCACTCTAACCTTAACAGAATCAGAATTTATGAAGATGATGTACAGGATATATATGTGGTTCACTTTTTTTTTTTAAGTTGGCCAATTTTTAAAAATATTTCATTTATTTATTTATTTTATTTTTGGTCTTTTTGAGACAGGGTCTCCCTGTAGCCCCAGCTGTCTTGGAACTCACTATGTAGACCAGGCTTTCCTTGAACTCACAGAGATCCGCCTGCCTCTGCCTCCCAAGTGCTGGAATTAAAGGTGTGCACCACCACACCCGGCTTCATTTTTTTTTTTTTTTAATTTTGTATATGACTGTTTTGCCTGAATATATATGTAAGTGCACTACATGCATGTGGAGGCCAGAAGAGGGCGTTGGATACCCTGGAACTGGAGTTATGAACAGTTGTTGGCTGCCATATGGATGGCTAGGAACCAAACACGGTTTTTCTGCAAGAGCAGCCAGTACTCTTAACTGCTAAGCCAGCTCTCCCTGTAGCACAGCTGGCCTGAACCCACTATGTAGACCAGGCTGATCTGGGTCTCAGAGATCCACCTGCCTCTGCCTCCAAGAGCTGGGATTAAAGATGTGTGCCACCACGCTTGGAGGTTGTCAAATGATTCTAATATGCAGTTTCCTGTAGTCTCCCAATTTCAATTCTCACACTACATATTAGAACTATGTTTTTAAAGCTGATCATGTCTAATTTGGAAGGTGAAGGCAGGAGGATCAAGGAGTTCAAGGTCATTCTTGGCTACATAGCAAACTGCAGGGCAGCCTGAGGCTATGTGAGACCCTATCTCAAAAAAAAAAAAAAAAAAGTGTTTTTTAACATCTCCACAAGCACTGCCAATAAAGCATGTCTAAAAATGAGCCAATTTTTTTATCCTTGTCCCAAGGCAGAATCATCCATGTGCTGTTCGTTCTGCTTGGAATTCCTTTTCTCATCTTTATGACCTTGTCAACCTCTTTACTGGCCTTATTTCTAAATTATTTTCCACCCTGATATCCACTATCCTGCCTAAAAACTATCCCACTAGATAAAAGCAAAAGCCAAGGCTTCTTCACATGGCATAGGAAACCTTCCATCGCTGCACCCACAGCCCTTGGGCTCTCCAGATTCTCACTTGCCCTAGCAAGCGGCCTTGTTCCCTGCTGGGGCATCAACAAACCAGAGAACCAATTTGAAAAGGGAGAAAAGCTCAGATTGATGTGAGGAAGTTCAAGAAGGAAAGCTACACAAGGCTTGGGATGTGTGCATCTGGTGGGTAAGAAGAGCACTGGATAAAAGCTTTACACTTTATAAACTTATATGTTTATTTGTACAAGTGTCTTGATTGCCTCTGTGTTTATTGGTATGTGTGTAGTGCCTGCGGGAGGCAGAGTGGGGGTGGGGGTGGAAGAGGACAACAGGGCCGCCATGTGGGTGCTGGGAGCTCAAGCCAGGTCTTCTGAAAGAATAGCAAGTCCTCTTAATCCCCTGAGGTGCCTCTCCAGCCCCACAAACTTTTTGACAGGCTCTCGAGTCCCAGGCTGGCTTCAAACTTGCTATGCAGCCAGGATGACCTCGAACACTGGATCCTCTTGACTCCACTTCCCTAATCCTGGGATTTATAGGTGTACACCACACCTGGCCCAAGAGCAAGTTCTAAATTTTGAGTTTCATAAAGTATGCATCTAAAGTCCAAGGCTTTTCTACGCCCCCTTTTAGGACTATAGGTAGGTTGCTGTTTTATAGAATAGACCCTTGAAATGTACAGATTGAACAATTTGTGGGATCTCAGAGGTCTCTGTGTAATAATTTCTAATTTTGCTGAGTCATAATCTTGACTATGTCAGACCATGACCCTCGGGCTCCCCGTCCTTGCCCATCACATCACATCAGATTCCAGAAGGGATCATTAAATATTGTGGCTCTGCTTGGTTGTCCGTAATGCAGGAAATTATACTCTGTGATGGTGTGCAATCTCTCAGGGTAGAGTTCTTACAAATGTCCAGCACCTACTTCAGTGTTTGCTTTTTGTCTTTTACCTTGACAGAAAAAAAAAAAAAATCACTGAAATTTAACATCAAATTGCATAACAGCAGTCAGGCGAATGGAACAGAGAAACAAGCCTCCCAAGAACCAGGTACAAAAACAATTCCTGGCAAAAGGCCAACTTTTCAGATGTGAGGTGGAAACCCAGACTCCTAGAGGCTGAATTTCAGAGGTGTTCTTCTTGCCTGGGGAGTCTTAAAAGCAACAGTGCTATCACTAGAACTGTGGGAACAGTGACGCATACCAGCCTCAGGCTGTGATAGAAGTAGACAGTCACATGGAAGACTCAGCCATTCCCAAGCCAGCCTTTTTCCCAGAGCAGAGGTCAGAAACTTGGTCAACCACACCCAGCTCTGAATTCCAACACTGACTAACCAACCAGCTATATGGCCCCAGTGAATCTAGTTTGAGCACCTTTTTTCATCTTCAGAATGATTGTAATATTTCCCTCTTAAAATTTTGTGATCTAGAGACGAGCTCCTGTTCCAGCTCTCTGTATCACAGACGTGGGGCTCCAGGATCCCACTCTGCATTCTGACCTGGGTGCTCTCCAGGCCCCTACCTACTTTGCCCATTCCTTCAAGAGCCTGAACTTTACAGGGGAAAATGTAAACAATTATGTTCGCTGTTACTTTACTTTTCTCAAAACTATTGGGGTGGGGTCTACAGGCTGGTCTGGAATCTTCCTGCCCTGTCCCCTTAGAATGCTAGAATTTACCTGCACTAAGCCTTGTTTTTGGTTTTTTTTTCTCTTTTTCTTTCTTTGAGTAGGCTCTCCCTAAGTTGTCCTGATGGTCTTTAACTCCTGGGCTCAGGAATATTCTATTTTAGCCTCCTGAATGCTGGGACTATAGGTTTGCACCTTTGTTTTGAAGGTCTTTAAAACAAAGTTCAGTTGCTTATGGCTCAAAAAGCAGAATTTGAATCCCTACATGAAACAGCTAGGAATCTTGAACATTTTACTTTTATTAGTGTTATTTTTTCAAGGCTGGGGATTGAATCCAGGACCTAGTTCATGCTAAGTAAGCCTAAGGTACAACCCCAACTCTTACGTTCTTTTTATCTGAGACTTGGTCTTCCTTTAGCCTATGCTGGCCTGGAACTTGCTATATAGACCAGGCTGGCCTCCATCTCACAGAGATCCAACTGCCTCTGCCTTCCAAGTGCTGAAATTAAAGGCATGTACCACCATGCCTGGCTATGTTCTCTGTGTTTGAAGAGAAGCCCAGAATCAAAAACACCAGCAATGCTTCCCTATGCCAAGATGGGGCAGTGACAGGTCACACTGCCAGTGGTGGGGGCTGTTATGACTACTCTTTCACTCATGGGCCCTCTGGGATGAAATACTGATTACTCACAAAGACCAGCGCTCCCACATTCCCAAGGAGAAGAAACCAGCACAAGTCACTTCCCCCTCTGCCCACCACTACCTCCTCCTAGTAGTTCTTAGAAGCAAGTCAGACAATATGGCTTTTTAAAAATTATTTAATTTAGTAGTTTTTTGTTTTTTGGTTTTTCTGGAAAAAAAGCAATAAGGCAAAAAAACTCAAAATATATATATTGTTTCATCTTCATGTGACTTTAATCTGCTTTTAGGATTTGTATTGTGTCTTCCATTAGCAGGAGTCTGGGGATCGAGCTAGAGATGTAGTGCAGATAGACAGGAAGAGGGGCTGAAGCAAGGAGTTTCTGCTTTGTTGAGAAATTCCCATTCTAGCCATGCCCCAGAAGGAGGGCCTCCATTTTATGGGGCTCCCAGGTGTAACCCTTGTGTTGGGGAAAGGGTTCTTACCAGGAAGTTCACCAGCACCTGCCCCTCTCTCATGTTTATCAGGGATGGGAAGGGGGAGATGGTAGGGAGGGACTAAAGTACAAATTTACCCAGTAAAATCCAATTTCCCTGGCGGGATGGCTTCCTCTGGAATGATATTTTCCCCCAGGACCCACGTGGCTGAGGCTCAGCAGTTAAGGAACAAAAACAGAAACATGAACAAAAAGCATATAAGGAAGGCACCTCAATTTGTGATCCTCAACCAAAGGTGGGCTGCACAGGGATGGATTTCTGAATAAGAAACTAAAATATAGAACAAAGGAAGAAGGAAGCCAGGGCCCAACAGGAATAGCCCCTATATGATACTCGTGCTTTGAGCCAGAAACTTCTTTTGGGATTTAGCCTGTGTGCTGGCCAGAGGCAGAAGCCAGCTGGAAATTGCCCTCCTGACTTTCTACCCATTCTTTCTTCCTAATGAAAGAAAAGAGGCAAGAAGATTAGGGTTTCATTTTCAAGAGCTGGGTAATTAGGAAAGCAGAGCTGAGGCAGCAGTGGGCATCCCATGACAAACCCTGGACCTAGAGTCCCTGTTCAGTAACTTCAAGATGTGGTCCTGCGTGGGGTTCAAATGTCCCTCAAAGATGAAAAGCGGAGGAGTGCCAATCCACATTAACAAAGTGTCCAAGAGAGTCCCAGGGAGACAGGTGATATCAAAAACCAAGATTCTTCATGGGAAGGAGGAAAATCAAACAAAAAATTAGATTTTTCTCTTTCTCTCTCTATATATATAATATACAGATTATTTAATACATTTTTTCCAGAGGTGGCTCCAGTCCATGGGGCTTGAGAGATGGTGAAAATTTTTACTCCAGAGAAACTTCTCTCAGATTCTGAAGTATACCAGAATGGGACAGGCATGGTTTGCTCTAGACTGGGGCACAAACTCAAACTGGTATTGTGAGGAGAGAAGCCAGAAAGGCAATGAAGGGCGGGGGTGAGGAGGGTTAGAGAAGGTACACTGGCTAGCAGTCGTTGTCCACCCTGCCTGCATTCTCCGAGGTTCTCTGCCTGAGGAAGTCCACAAAACCCCTTCACGAGGATAACGTGACCCTCTTACCAATCATGTGGCCTCTGGTTGCTGTCAAAGAAGACAGAGAACAGAAGGGTCTTATAGGCAAGTGAAGATAAAATTCCCAAGAATGTAATTCTGAATACTCCAGCCCTACAGAACAATCTCTCTTGCAGATGTTCCACTACCTGTTTTCTACACCAACATATGTACCACTAAGCCAATCCCTATGTGTGGGCACATTTCGTAATGTTAGACCTAAGCTCCACCGCAACCATGCATGCCTCTGCTGGAGAAGTCTTATGTGTTTCTTTTTAAAGGAACTTTAAAATCAGTTCTTGCTCTGAACAGCACCAAAATGCTCATGAATCACAATCTTATGCAGATCTTGGCTGAGCAGGATACTGTAAGGGGAGGGTGAGTGACATCATCTTACATGGGGCAGAGGGAGAAGAAGAGCCAAGAACACTTGACTTTGCAGATGTAGAACAACACTAGTGCTTCAGCCACGCCTGTCCCTTACAAATAGGTATCTAGTATGTCGATTTCAGCATCAATCAGCTAAGGCAACCAGCCAATCACCACCACCGGTGTCTGCTTCTGGTGATTGATTTGGAAAAAGTGATTGGTTAAGACAGACTTGAGGAAAGCACTTGCTCAGAGTCCCAACTCCAGCTTTCCCACATCCTCTGTCCTCTTCTCCAATCCAGCCGCTTCCTTTGAGTTACAGCCACTTCAGAAAATATCTGGGCATGAGTTCCAGTCCTGTTTTTCTTTACACTCCCAGTATTCGCCCCTATAAATATGGGTTAACTCCTTGGTAACAGGGTCCTTCTTCCGCTCAAACCACAGTGCCTTATATGGGTCGTATGGTGTGCCTAAAAAGGAAAGAGGGCGAAAAGCAAATTAGAGCTGGCACTTCCTACATGTTGAGAAGAGCGAGTAGAGGGCAGCCTTGTTACCGTCTTCTGTGGCCTTCATGGCTTCTGCCTCTCTCTTCTTCCTGGAAAGTCTCTGTTTCTCCTCTAGGCGCTGCTTCTCAGCATTGGCTTCATCCCAGCGCCCATTTTCCATCAGTCTCTGGTCAGGCCGTAACCGGCTGTCCGTAGGTGCAGTGCCCCCTTCCCAGGCATTGAGAGTAAGAGCAAGTTCTGAGAAGTAGTACATGTTCTCAGCATTCTTCCTGAAAGTAAAGAAGAAAGAGGGAAATACCAGAGCCTAGACCCCTGATAGGAGCAACAGTACAGTTCACTTCCACAGCTACATCACTAAGGCTGCCTTACAAGTGGAAAAAAAATCCAAGGCCATATAAGGTGCCCTGAAGTAAGAGAACCAAACTGGATCACCCCTCCTTCCCCAGCATCACCTCATCCAACAGTTACCTGGTGTGTCTGTATTCAGAATTATCTACATTCATTAGAAGAATGAAATAATCAAAATCCTCATTGCTTGCTCTTTGCTTCCTTTTAGACCTCTTTCTGGGGTCATCCTGGCTATAACTGCAGACAGAATGTACAAGATGGTGACAGGAGACAGAGGCCTCCGCTTGTTTCCAGAGTCCTATGCATTATCTCAGGGGCCTGCAGGCTAGGTTGTCAGCAAGTGGTGGACACCTTTCTCCTCTGGCTGGTTTTGAAAACTTCTGCTCTAAATTGTAGTGAGAATGACAGGTAATATGGAATATGCCTGGAACCCTAGGTTGTGGGAGGATTAGATCAGAAGTTCAAGGATAGCCTCCACTACACAGTGAGTTTGAACTCAAGTTGGGTGTGGTGGCTCACGCCTTTAATCCCAGCACTTGGGAGGCAGAGGCAGGTGGATCTCTGTGAGGTCCAGGCCAGCTGGTGCTACAGGGAGACCCTGTCTCAAAAAAAAAGACCCTATCTCAAAAACAAAAATTATAAATTACAGAGATTCTTCTGAGTCACAATTCAACAGACCTTTAGAAAGAAATAAAATTTGGTAGATGTGGTTTGGTGAGGTAAATTCTTGGGAGAAAGCCTGCTACAACTCAAATCATACAGGTCAGTCCCACAGATAACTAGGTGGAAGGTAGGCAAGGACACCTCCATGGTTAAGGACAAAGTCCCTAGGAAGCTCAAACAGTGATACTCACGGTAAGGGATTCCTCTTCCACAGAATGACCCTGCTTTCTTCTGCTTCGTGACCTCTCTGTCGGGCATCTCCACCATTTTCCCCAGAGGCCTGCTGGACTTTGAAACAATCCATTTTCTCATCCCATGTCCCCAGAAGGGCAAAGTGAACTCTTCCTGATGGGTCTGTCACTTCTCCTGTCACCTGCAAGGGTGGAGATCAGGGCTTTGGAGCACTACATGCACTGCATGGTGGTTTAGCTGATCTAGAGAAGAGTCCTAGGGTTATTAGGGAGTTAGCCATTTTTTTTGGGGGGGGGCAGGGTCTCCCCAGTCCCAGCCTGCATAGAACTCTGTAGACCTGGCTGGCCTCAATCTCACAGTGATCTGCCTGCCTCTGCCTCTGCCTCTACCTCCTAAGGGTGGGAACTAAAGGCCTGCAGCACAATGCCCAGCTGCTATTCATTTTTAAACACTCTTGAAATAACTGAGGCATGGCTTAGGGAATTCATGATCAAAACTTGTTGCATAGGAAAGATGTAAGCAGGAAAAGCATCTGATTGACACTCAAAATCACATTTTCTCTCTAGAAAGCATACAGACCCACAGATTTAAATTTTCAGCCAATCTTTACTCTTAAATGAACATTTGTGGTGTGAGTCCACTGTGCTGGTAACATACAACTCTCCTTTGTATTCCACAGGGGTCTGGTCTACACCATCTTCCTTCAGTCTTTGAACAGTCCTCCATGTTCCACTTTTAGTCTCACTATGCTCATCTTCACTTCCTCACTTGTCCAAGACTGGATGAGTAATGCAGAGTCCCTTTTCTTGCTTTCTTCTTTGTTTTTTCACTCTCTGTATTTAGGCTGTCTTTCTAGCTACCTATATACATGTATACACACACTCACACACAACCAGCCCTTCTAAGGGATACCCACTAAATGAAAAAAAAAAATGGGGGTAAGGGGGAAGCTGGAGAGATGACTCAGAGGCTAAGAGCCCTGGCTGCTCTTGCAGAGGACCCTGGTTTGGTTCCCAGCACCCATATGATAGCTAACAACCATCTGTAACTCCAGTTCCAGGTGATCCAACAGCCACTTCTAGCCTCATTGGGTACTGCACACATGTGGTACGCTTAGATTCATGTAGGTAAAACACTCATACACATAAAAGTAAATTTAAAAAATATTTTTTAAAAAAGAAATTTCATTTCCCTTACCTTTCTTGCTACATCCCTAGAGAAGTAGCTGTAAGGAACAAACTTAAGGTTGCACTTGTCTCCTGTCTTATGATTTACAATATCAATTTCACCAGACTGTAAAGTGAAAAGAATTGTGGATTAGTTTTATGAACTGACTTGATTAGCAGCAAAACCTGCGCCTCCTAACTCCTTATCTTGCACTTTTACATGCTAGCACTTTCCTGCTTAAAGCACAGGTCTTAGCTGACTTGGAGGCACTGGGGAATCCCTTTGTACCCTCAGTATTTCAGGATGGGATTAAGATCAGACAACTCAGGGTGGAGAGACGGCTCAGTGGTTAAGAACATTGGCTGTTCTTGCAGAACACCCGGGTTCAAATCCCAGCACCCACATGGCAGCTACCAAGTGTCCATAACTCCAGTTCCAGGGGATCCAACAGCCTCTTCTGTCCTCCAAGGGCACTGTGCGACACGGGTGCACTTACCTACATGCAGGCAATACATGCATACACACAAAATAAAAATAATAAATAAAAAATATTTTAAAAAAAAAAGATCAGACAACTCTTTGTTTTGTTTGTCCCATGTTGGTGGCATGATGACCTTCAGTACAAACACTAAATTCACATACAATAATTTACTTTTCCAAACCAATCTCTCACTAGGACCCTTCTTGAATTCTTCTGCTAGACTCGGAGCACTGTTTCAAGGTTCTATATGGCAGATCTTTCTAGAGATTTTACTCATCTCATCTTTCTGTCTTCCAAAAAGCAGCCTACTGTCCACATCTACTGTGGAGCCCACCCTTCCTCAGAAGAGTATTCTTTTTTTCTGACTGTATGGAAACCACTGTCTTAATAGAAAGCTAATAATTTACTAGGTACTCTCTTAGCACATCTCCTGTACTAGGGCATTTTGTTACATGTTTTAAATTTAAATGTTTGTCATATTTCTTCAATGACACAGTAACTGCTGGAGGGCCTTCTCTGACTTTGAACCCTAGTACCTAGTATACTGCTCGGCAACAAATGTTTCACGAATAATGAAAGAATTAAGAGCTGGGACCACGTAAGCATGTTTTTATCCTTCACGTTGCCCAAGAGTCTTAGTAGTCATTAATGAAAGTTATAATTTGGTCATATCCATAAAATGATAATACTTGGACAGGTAGGACTACTGCCTGAGAGAAAAACCTTAAAAGAGACTAATGACCTTGTAAAAACAGTCTTTGACCAGTTCCTGTGTCCTAACTACTGCAAAAATTACCTGAAGTACCTTGGAGGTACTTTGAGTACCTCTGCTCACCTGATCTATCCACAATTTGCCCACAATAATGTTGTGCACTGTTGTGGTAACTTTTTTCCAAGTGTAATGGTGCCCAGTTGCATGGAAAATACAGTGGATGGTACCTAGAAGCAGGGAGGAAAACAAATTAAGCCAAGTATCAGAAATATAGCACCATGAACCCTAGAAATAATAGACTGATTTGCTTCTATTGCTATTTCCTACTTTAAAAAGAAAAGCTTAAAAAAAGAAGACATAGAACCTTCTTGAATGTTAGAAATAGTGGTTTAATTTTATTTAATTTTAAATATATGAATATAGAAGATTTCAGACAATAACTACTGATACATCTTAGCTATAGAGCTAAACTGCAAATTTTATAGGAACAAGGCAAGTATGTCCCAGTGTGAAAAAATACAAAACTACATTGTGGGAGGAACACATATTGGTAGTCAGAATCAGAGGCTAGGCCCTGCTGTTAGTAACCAGCTATATGATCTTAAACAAACCACTTATCTACGGGCCTTAATAGTAAAAGTGGGGGAGCAGAGAGAGGACACTTTAGAATTAGAAATGGATTCAATCTTGGCTCTCTCTCACTCATTAGATGTGTGATCCTGTGTTACACAATAATTTGTCTGGTCTTTGCTATGGTTACTGGATAAGAACCTTTCAACCTCCATAATTTCTCAAGCGATAAGAGTATTTTTGTTGGGCCTGATACTTTTATGTTGCTGAGGTGACTCATGGTGGGTCACTAATAGTTAATGCTAATGAGATAACTCAGGATGATGGCCATGCTAGGCCAGAAAGCTCAACCATTTGATTAGAGTTGGGGTTTTGAGTCACCTATTATCAACATACCTGCTAACCTCCAGGAAGGGAGGAGCCCGGATATTGAATTCAATCATATGGAATTATTAATCCAGCCTACATAATGAAACCCAATAAAATCTCTGGACATCAAAACTCAAGAGTAACATGCCCTGATTCCATGGGGAGAAGTCATAGAAGCTCTGTATTCAAGACTCTCCTAGCTTCACATTCTAAGTGTCTTCATTTGACTAACTGTGATTTGTACACTGAATGATAAACAGTAATAACTATATACTACACTTTCCTGAGTTCCATGAGTTACTTAGTAGTCTTGTCTGAGACTATGCTCTTAACTTACAGGGTGTAAAAATATTCCAGATGGGTTAGCCTCTGGGTTGCATTACAGTATGAATGCTTTTAACTTCCTTTAACCTCAGTTTTATAATCTGTAGACTTGAGAAACCACGTCCTAGTAGGTATTAAATATCTATTTATTTGCTCATTAAGGTGCTTGTAACAGGTACTCAGCACACATAGCTTCCTCTTCCTGTAAGCAGATCCAAAATGAAAACTAAATCAAAATTCAAGGTTGGAGTATAGGTACAGACACACACACACACACACACACACACACACACACCTTAGTAACCACTAATTTTCATTAGAACAGACTGATTCAGGCATGCCTTTTCCTTTACAAAAGATTCAAGCAGCTCTGGTAGTGGGCTATGAAAGTAACAACAATGGCAATCATATTAATGTTATTGATAATAACGGCCACTCTCATGAGAGCATTTGCCATGTATGAGGCTTTCTACGTTACATCCTCCACATGAGTTATCTCACTCAACCTTCACAAACATCTTCAAAATGTTTGCTCCACATTTATTCATTTATTTATTTTTGGTCTTTTTGAGAGAGTCTCCACTGGGGGTGTGATGGAGCGCACCTTTAGTCCCAGCACTCAGGAGGCAGAGGTAGGCAGATCTCTGTGAGTTCAAGGCCAGCCTGGTCTCCACAGCGAGTTCCAGGCCAGCTGGGACTACAGGGAAATTCATTCTGTGAGGTTTTCATGTATGACTTATTATACTAAGGTACTTTCCTTCTGTTCTTAGTTTGTTGAGAGTGTTTTTTTTTTTTTTGGTTTAGTTTAGTTTGGTTTGGTTGAGACAAGGTCTCCCTGTAGTCCCAGCAGGCCTGGAACTTGCTATGGAGAACAGGCTCGTTTTGAACTCATAGAGATCCACCTGCCTCTGCTGGGATTGAAGGCATGTACCATCTTTAAACTCAGTACCTTCTCCACTACTACATGCCGTGTGTGTGTCTATGATGTGTGAGGGTATGGACATGAGTGTGCCAGGCATGTGTGTGTAGGTTAAAGGAGCATGTCTGAGACAGGACCTCTGCCACTGTGTGCGCTGTATGCGGCTACCTGGCCAGCAAGTAAGCAGATGTTCTCTTACTCCATCTTCCATCTCCCTATAGGGCTGTGCTGGGATTACAGATGCTTATGCTACTGTGAGGCGGGCTTTTACATGAGTTATAGAGATCCCAAAACAGGCCATCAGGCTTATTCAGCAAGCACTTTACCCTCTGAGCCACTGTTCAGCCTGCTACCCCTCTTTTAATCATCCTGGTACTAAAGCAAAGCAAAGCAAAGATACTACAGGAATACTGACCAGTATCTCTTATGAGAATTTATGTACTAATCTTAAACAAAATGCTAGGAAAGTAAATTCAAGGATGTATTAAAAGGATTACATTCCACAGCCAGACATGGTGGTGCATGCCTTTAGTCCCAGCACTCAGGATGCAGAAGCAGGCAGATGTCTGAGTTCAAGGCCAGCCTGGTTTACATAGAGAGTTCCAGGCTAACTGGGGCTACAGGGAGACCCTGTCTCAACAACACAAAACAAATAAACCAAAAAAAGCCCTCAACAAACTAAGAACAGAAGGAAAGTACCTTACTATTAATAAAAGTCATACATGAAAACCTCACAGAATGAATCAAATTTAATGGAGAAATACTGGAAGATTCTCCTCTAAGATATGGAACAAGGCAGGACAACCACTGCCAATAGCACTCAGCATAGCAGCAGACATTACAATCAGAGCAATTTGGCAAGAAATAAAAAGCATACAAAATGGAAAGGGAGAGGAGAAATTCTGTTCACAGATCATGTGCAGAATACAAAAATTCCACAAAAAAAACCTCTTACAACTAATTTAGCAAAGTAGCACACAAAAGTAATCTGTTGCTTTTATACATTAACAGTAAGCAGTGTGACATTATTAAGAATAATTCCTTTCTGGGCCTGGGATGTAGCTCAGTTGGTAGAGTGCTTGCCCAACATGCATGAAGCCCTGAGTTCAGTTCACAGTACTGCTTAAACTGGGGCTGGTAGCACATGCTGATAATCCTACCACTTGGGCAGGACCGGTAGAGGATCAGAAGTTTAAGGCCATCTTTGGCTGGTATAGATGAGACCTTACATCAAAGAGGAGGGGGGGTAGGGGTGCAGGGAGAGGTGTCCATCAAGTACAATATAACAATAAAGAACAACTCCTTTACAGTAGCATCAGACAGAATAAAATACTTGGGAATTATCCATGAGGTGAAAACTACAAAACATTGCTGAAAGAAATTAAAGAAAGCATAAATGGATGCATACCCCAAATTTAGACTGGAAGACTTAATATGATTAAGATGTCACTAACACCTCAAACACTCCACATATACAATGCAAAAACCTTAATAACATATTTTTTGCAGAAAGAAAACTCTATCTTAAAATTCCTATAGAATTTTTGGCTAGAGATGGCTCGGCAGTTAAGAGTGCCTGCTGCTCCAACTGGGTCCCCAGCACCCAATGAACAGTTCACAATTGCCTGTTTTCCAGTTCCAGGGGGATCTGATGCCCTCCCCTGGCCTCCTCAGGCAGCTGCAGGCTCATAACACACACACACACACACACACACACACACACACACACACACACGCACAAGTACACACATACACATAAATAAAAATCAATCTTGGGAGTGGAGAGATGGCTCTGCAGTTAAGAGAACTGGCTACTCTTACAGAGAACCCAGGTTTGGTTCCCAGCACCCACATGGCACTTAACAACCATGAGTAACTATGCACCATCACACCTGATTCTTTTATTTTAAAAATTTTATTTTACGTATATGAGTGGTTTGCCTGCATGTATACATGCATGCAATGTCCATAGGGACCAAAAGATAGCATCATATCCCCTGGAACTGGAGTTGTGGTCAGTTGTTAGCTGCCATGTGGGTGCTGGGATCCAAACCTGAATCCTCTTCAAGAGCAGCAAGTGCTCTCAACTGCTGAGCTATCTCTCCAGTCCCAGATAAAAATAAATCTTAAAGAAAAAAAAAAAATTATATAGTATTTGAAGGGAACCCAATTAACTAAAACAAATTTGAAAAATAACAAAGCTGGAAGACTTACAATTTCTGATTTCAAACTTACTATAAAACTCCAGTAATCAAAACAGCGGTGTGAGGCAGGGCATGGTGGCACACACCTTTAATCCCAGCACTTCAGAGGCAGAGGCAAGCAAATCTCCAAGAGTTCAAGGTCAATCTGGTTTATATAGCAAGTTCCAGGCCAGCCAGGGATACATGGTGGAACCCTGCCTAAAACAAAAAACAAACAAAAACCCCAAAATCCCATATAAAACAAACAAAAAACTGTATAGTACTAGCATAAAGACAGACAGGACTACTGAAGAGATCAGAGAGCCTAGAAATGAGTCCTTACATACATGCTCAAATGAGTTTTGACAAGGGAGCTATGACCATTCAGGAGGGAAAGACAGTCTTTTCAACAAATGCTCCTGGGAAAACTAAATATCTGCATGCAAAAGAATGAAGTTAGACCTTTCTCTAAAGTCCTATACAAAAATTAACTTAAAATGGGTCAGATATCCAAATGTCAGACCTTAAACTATATAAAACTCCAAAGAAATCATAGGGCAAAAGCTTCATGACATTGGATTAAATGACTTTAAAAATGACGACAAAGGCATAAGCAACACTGAAAAACAATGGACAAAAAGATGGTCTTTCTGAAAATAAACATTTTGTACATCAAAAGGCAACAGGGTAAAACGGCAACTCATGGAGTAGAAGGAAGTGTCTGCAAATCCTACTTCCGGTAAGGAACTGATGTCCAGAATACATATACAATACCTAACACTCAACAAAACAATTTCAAAAGCGGCAAAGGGTTTACATAGACCTCTCTTCAAAGAACGTATAGAAATCATTAAAAAGCATATAAAAGGGCGAGAGAGATGTGTCAGCTGATAAAAGGCTCAGGCTCACAACTATAAAGACAAAAAGCACATGAAAGCATGTTCCGCACCACATAAGATACCATCTCACAACCATTAGGATGGCTACTACCAATGAATGAATAAATAAATAAGAAGAACATGGAATAACTGCAGCCTTGGCACACTATTGGTAGGAATATAAAATGACAAGAGTCATGTTGTGGAAAACAGTATGGAGTTTCTCAAAAAACTGAAAATAGAATTACTATGTGATCCAACAATTCCACTACTGGGTACACAGCCAAAAGAATAGAAAACAAGGACTCCAAGAGATACTTGTACACCCAGGTTCACAGAAGCATTTATTTGCAATAGCTAAAACATGGAAGCAACCTCTAACCATTAAGGCAAAGTACTGAGTGTGTGTGTGTACACAATGAAATATTACTCAGCTTTATAAAAGAAATTCTTGAGTCAGGCATAGTGGTTCACACCTTTAATCCTAGTCTGAAACGCTCAAGTATATATTATACATATTTTATTGTAAAATATTTGTAGGAAAAATATACAGGAGGCCAGAAGACAGTAGAATAACACATTCAAAATGTTGAAATGAAGACTTTCAAAAGAAAAATTCCATATCCAGTAAAACTATCCTACATAAACAAGGAGAAATTAAGTCATTCCCAGGTCAATAAAAACTGAAACAAGTGAAAGCTGGTGAACCTGTCTTCTAAGAAACACTGAAGGGAAGGGAATACTGAAATGATAGTAACTAGTTAGTAACTTCAATTCACATTAAGAAATAAAGAGATTATTGATGTGGTAGTGGCACTTTTGTCTTGGGCATAATTAACAGCAGTCTAAATGGACTTAAGTCCCACTCAAAGGGAGTGTGTTACTGTAAACATAGCCAAGTACACATGCTGAAGATGGCATAGACCCTAAAGAAAAACCTACTTTTGTCACATTCCTAGACCAACATAATTTCTTACTATAGTCTAAATATGTATTCTAATATTTACAGACAAGTGGACTTCTCACCACTCATCAAAGAAGCTTCTCTTTGCAATAGATGGAGACTATAATAAAGTTCTGCAACTGGTCACACTCAAAGAATAAGTGACTGTGAGGTTCCCAGCTCTAAGCAACACATCTACAATGCAACCTCTATACCTAAGGCTCAGGGAACATTGTGGAAGAGGGGGTAGAAAGAATATAAGAGCCAGAGGGACAAGATGCCTAGGCTGCTACTTAAGGCATTCTAGACATGATAGAGAAGCTACACGAATGAAATCTCCATAGTATGGGAGTCGAACAATATCTGCATATGATAACAAAACAAACTGACCTAACAAGGTAGATGGGGGAGATTTCAAGGGGAATCTCACCTCATGAAGAGCTACAGGCAATCAATGGATCCTGAGGAGAGAATCAGTTTTCTCTAGGGACCAGCTCCCTGAGAGGTTATCTACCTCTAAGTGGGCAGCCCTAAACACAGGTACACAGGAGCATCACTGAATGGACTCAGTGTATTATATACACACACATATATGTATATCTATAAACATATGCATGTACATATAACAATAATTATCAAGGAAGAAGACAGGAAACTGAAAGGAGTTGGAGGGGGAATGGGAGGGCTGGAAATGGTGTGAAGACTATACTCATGTATGATGTTGACAAAAAAATTTTAAAAAGTTTTTTTTTTTTTTAAAGAGACTAGTAAAGCTAATTACTTAGTATAGTAAAGATCATATTAACTTTTTCTCCTATATGATTTGTAAAGTATCTGCATAAAGTAACATTGCAAAGCTATGTTATGAGATTATAAAATATAAAATATAATTTGCATGAAAAAAGTACACAGTGAGGAAAGATAACAGGTGTAAAGGCCTGGCCTACAACTCTAACACTACTGTTAGGCTTCCTATTCCCAGGCCCAATCTTTTTGATCTTGACACAAAAAACTTGTAACCCAATAAAAATAAAGTATCATCTTACCCAGAATTCAGCCATTATATAAATGACACCTAATCCATCAAGTACAGGAAGAAAGAGGGGAGGAAGGAAAGAGACAAGCCAAGAAGCCCGACCTTGTGATCCTAAGAGTTCTGATGTACAGATGGAACCAAACTGCTAGAGTAATGGGGGAAAAACAATATTAAATAATTTCTTCCATAAAAGTCATGCTAGAATTTATATTCCAAAGTGGTGCTTACAGATAAAAATAAATATAACTGGAGAGACCAAGGCTGGAGTGCCTGGCCTCCTCACTCATTTCAGAGTTGAGGCACTGGTCTTTGAATCAGAATCCCGGTCTCCTGATGCCTGAACCAGGACCTCTTCATCCTGCCAGAACACCTTTCACGGGAACAAAGATGACCTTACCTAGGGGCATAATGGAGAGGTATTTGCCTCGAAACTTGCTGGTGATTTTGATTTCCTGACGCAATGTCCAGCCATTTTTGGATTCAGCATGGTGTGCCGCAGCAGGGGGGTGATGACTCACCTTGAAGAAATAAGGTTCAAATTAAGAAAGAAGGCAAAAGGAAAAGATTTGGCCTATAATTGATGATAAACACCCTTGATGTTTTCACATCCACAATACTAGGTGAACAGCAAGGCCTGGAGTGTTAACATAAGAAAAAGAAGGTAGGCTGGGATGACAGGAACTGCATTTTAAAAAAACCACCCATCTTCAGAAAGGAAATGTGTTACAGTCCAGGGACTTTTTACCTGCTCACAGAGGGATCGATACCCATTCTCCTCTAGCCGGTCCAGCTCAAAGGTCTCCCCAAGGAGTGGGTTGAATGGCTTGCTGGTTCGGAAGACAGTAGTGGAATAGGAGGACACTGTGAAAGCTGCAACATAACAGAGCTGTTCCAAAGAGTTCTCACATTTTGCAGCCCGGTCTAACAGCTCATGGTATTCCAGATCTTCAGTAAGGCGCTGAAGCATGGACAAAGGCTCATTAAAGTTAACCTGTAAGGAAAGAACAGATACTAAAACTTTGCCCAGGCATTTACAAGAGATAGTTTTATTTATTTTCAGGTGGAGAAGAGATACTGATATGTTGAGGTGATAAAAGAAAATCACTGGGACGAGAACAGAAGCCATAGTTCTTAGATTTGACCTGCACGCAACCAATTTACTATCCTTGGTCAACTGTCCACATCAGTGAGTAGCAGAAATGACCATTTTCACTCATTTCACTGACTGTAACCTTTTAGAAACCACGCCTGTTCTGTGCAGCATTACAAGCCCAAGAGATAGCAGTGACTACCCATAGGGGGCTCAGCAGATGGGTGCTAAATGAACAAATTATAACAGAAATAGAAAATTTTCAGTTAAGCATATCCAAAAAGGAAGTCAGGTATTTATAATTCTTTGGGAAAGAAAGAAAAAGTAGTCGATGTTAAGTACAGGAGTGTTCTAACCATTAAAAACATTGCATTACCCTGAACTAGAAAACTGCTAAGTCTCAGTTCACTTCTATAAGGATAAGCTCTGCTTTCTTCCTAGGCTGGAGAGTGTTGCTACACATGGAGCACTTGTGATGGGGCTGAGAGGGAGCAGGGCATGTTCTCACATTTCAAATTCTACAGCCAGTTTACAGCACTCAATCACTAGATGATGCGAATGAGAAGTACAGGGAATGAGGGAGAATGTTAGGGGAGAGACCCATTCATTCATTTATTCACCTACTCATTATATGAATATTAACTGGGTCCTTGTGTCTGCCCAGAACCTCTGGTACCCACTGGGTGAAGAGAGCTGGACAAGAGATACTGTTCACGTTTCTCCGTCCCTAATAAAACAAGTTAGCTTCTAAGTTAACTGTTCACTATTTTAAATGCTTTTACTAATTTACAATTTGCTCTGGGTGCTGGGGAATTGGCTCAGCGTGTAAGATCTCCTGCTCCACAAGCATAAGAACCCGAGTTTGAATCCCCGGTACCCACATAAAAAAGCCAGGCATGGCTATACATGCCTGTAACCTCAGCATTAGGGGGATGGGGAGGCGGGTGGAGACAGGTACATCTCAAGACACAGTAACAGCCGGCTGTGGCGGCGCACACCTTTGATCCCAGCGCTTGGGAAGCAGAGGCAGGTAAATCTCCATCAGTTCTTGAGGCCAACCTGGTTTACATAGTGAGTTCCAGGCCAGCTGGGGCTACAGGGAAACCCTGTCTCAAAAAGACCAAAAAAAAAAAAGACAAAGTGGCCAGTGAGCCTAGCCAAAATGGGAGCTTCTAGTTCAGTGAAGAATCTCTGTGTCAGGGAATACAGTGCCAATGACATGAGGAAGACACCTGATGTCCTCCTCTTGCTTCCACATGCAACACACACGAATACAAAAAAAAAAAAAAATTACAAGGAAAGAGAATAAAATTTTCCTTTAAAAAAGTTATGTTTCTGAGCTAGCCCATAAACTTTAGTCAGTAATAAAGCTGAGGGGCTAGACATATGACTCAGCAGTTGAGAACACTTGCAGAGGGCCTAGGTTCAGTTCCCAGCACCCACACCAGCTGGGACACGAGGCACATGTATACGTGCACTCACACATACATAATATTAAAAAATATATCTAAAAATAAAATAAAGCTACATGAACTTGAATAATACAAGCCTGAGTTCGAAAAAGACAAAAGAAGAAAATTTTGCTTTCTTTTGAATAGTCTGTACTTAAGCAACATTTTTTTTTTTTTTTTTTTTTTTTTTTTTTTTTGGTCTTTTTGAGACAGGGTTTCCCTTTAGCCCCAGCTGTTCTGGATTCACTATGGAGACCAGGCTGTCCTTGAACTCAGAGATCTACCTGCCTCTGGAACAACAGTGCTAGGATTAAAGGCGTGCGCCACCACGCCCAGGAAAATATTTTATTATTTTTATTTTATGTGTATGCGTGTATTGCCTGCATGTGAGCGCACCCACGTCATGCAATGCCTGCAGAAGACAGAAGAGGCTGTCGGGTCCCCTAGAACTGGAGTTTCGGGAAGTTATTAGCTGCCATGTGGATGCTGGGATTCGAACCTGGGTTTTCTGCAAGAACAACCAGTGTTCTTAACCGCGGAACCATCTCTCCAGCCCCTTAAGCAACATTTCAGTAAACAAAGAAAAAACCTTTTTTTTTTAATCCTCCACCTCTCTTCTACCTCCCATCCTCTTTCTGAGTCAGGGTCTCATTATGCTGTCCAGGTTGGTCTTGAATTAATGAGTTCAACTGATCCTCCTCCCTCAGCTTCCAAAGCAGCTGGGACTACGGACACTTGTCATGAGCCCAGCCTCTTTGTATGTTTTTGTCTACCAAACTGAGCTGTGAACTACCCTAAGATTTACTGCACTGCTTGTGACATTAATACCTTTTCATTTTCTCTACAAAAATTGTTTTAAACAGAGCCAGGCATGGTGGCACATGCCTATAGTCCCAGCACTTGGGAGGCAGAGGCAGGCGGATCTCTGTGAGTTCAAGGCCAGCCTGGTCTACATAGTGAGTTCCAGGACAGCTGGGGCTACAGGGAGACCCTGCTTCAAAAAGACAGAAACAAAAACAAAAAAGAAACCTCTCTTAAACAAAGACTATAGGCCAATGAGGTGGCTCAGCAGGTAAAGCCCTAGCTGGGAAGACTAAGGACTTAGATTTGATCCCTTGAATCCCTGTAAAGGTTGAAGGAGAGAACTGACTTCATAAAGTTGTCCTCTGACCTCCACATGTATGCCACGGAATGTACATGTCCCTCCCTCCCCCCATCATGCCCACACAATAATAAGAAAACTAAAAATTAAATAAAACCCTCAAAAGACTAAAGGGAAGAATTTACTTGAAGTGACTCACCCAAAGATAGCCAGTATTAGTATTTAAACATTGCTTTTATGCACTTATACATGTTAGAAAATAAAACAGAGACTGCAGTTATTCTGACAAATATGCCGCAGGTTTCTCTAGGAACATTTTCCAATAGAGCCACAGGAGGAACTCTGGAACCATCATTCTCTGGGGAAGTAGATTTACTCAGACTGTCTATTCCCAAACCATTTTCTCCAAAGAGACAAGTTATAGAAGTCAGTACAGATAAAGTCCGAATCCTCAGTCTTTTTAAATTACTTCAGCAAATTCTTTTAGAGGCAAAACTTAAGGCAACATGAAGTAATGTTTCCATACACGCAGATGAAAATCAAGGTAAAACTGAATGCTACTGGTGGCTCCTAGATCAATCAACAAGCCTGGCTAGAATCTGCATATCACTGATCTATCACTATATTTCATGCACACATACCCTGCCATGTAAAAAGTGTTCTAAGAACCCCAATATCTCCTACAGTGCCAAGCTTTATATGATGGTCACTTTATCACTCAGAGGCCAAACCAGAAACAAATGACTGTGAGTATTTAAAGTGGAAGGAAACAGGATCCTATGTTTTATACTGCTAATGAAGAGTTGGATAGCCACAAAAGACAACCCAGAGACTAACAACAGCAGGCAGCAGTGAGGGAGGAACAAACAGAAGGGATATCATTGCAACTCAGAGGCTGAGGGACCTGGTAGAAGCTTAGCACCTTGAGGGGTACAGGGAGCCACATAGGCGCTGCCAGAAGACTGCCTAAGAGGAATCTCTCCTATACTGGTGGTGCCCAGCCAAATGCCAGCACAAGCCTAAAAAACACAGCCTAGACCTAAGCCTTTTCATATTTATGTAACTGATGTAACTGATGATGATGATGATAATAATAATACAGTGCTAAGGGTAGAACCTCAGGCTCTGAACATGCCAGGCAAGTACTCTTATCAGTGAGCTATAGCCCCACCCTTGAGCAACATTCTTTTTTAGAACAAAAATCTTATCTACTTATATAAAACTTACTTCTTTTCCAGGGTTATTACTTCAATATTTGCTGAAGACCTACTCATGTCAGAGGCATGAGTTCTAAGTATAAGAACACAGTTTACACAGCAACATACACAACAAGAATGCATAGTTCCTACCATGAGGAGGAACTCTTCATAGGAAGAGGCAGAAACCATACATCAATCCCTGTGCACCAAGAGTTAGGGAGGATGCTTTATTTCTGTCTGCCAAGTGCCTGGCTGTGGACAGAACGTGTGACTCCCCATCCTCCAACTTGTCATTTTCCAGTCTTTTCTCCAGGTAGCTGCAGCCATATAAGTTAGTTGTGGCCACAGAGATTTAAGAGATTAATGGATTAAGCAATTTCCAGGAAGTGTCCATAAAAGACACAGCTGCTCATTTTTTTCCCTATCTTCCAGCTCACTGCACAGTGTTCCTGATAGCTCAGGATGGAGCAGCAGCCACTAGAGACCTATGAACTAAAACCACAGGCAGCAGAGCCACACAACAAAAGGAATCCTGGGCCTGACACCCTACTTCCGGACTTTAACATAAGAATGAGCCAAATCAACATTTAAGGCAGGGGTGGCCTGTTTTTTTCTGTATGAGCTAGATAGTAAATATTTAGGCACTCAGGACCAGGTCACATCACTCAGCACTGCTGTTGCAGCAAGACAGAGCCACAAACAAGATGTAAATGAATGCGCACCTCTGTCCCAACAAAACTTTACTTATGGATATTAACCTCATGAATCATTGTATTAGTTCCCCCCCCAACCATTTAATAAAACAATAAAAATAAGTCTTGGCTTGTGGCTGCATAGATGACAGCCAGACTTCACTCAAGGGCCTTAGTTTGCTGACCCCTGTTCAAATCGATGTATCATAATTTCTTTCTTTAAATTGCCTAAGAGATACACTGGCATCACACTGTGCGAAGAGGAAGCACTCAGTAAATACACAGGGTGAATAAGCAAGTAAAACACACTGCTCAGAGGCCAGCAGTGGAACTTCTTGGAGAACAAGGGAGTGATATCTCAGCCTGACTGGATGTACTATAAGTTTACTAAAGAGACACCATAGCCAAATCCCACAGAAAAGGGTTTTAGTTACAGCAAAAATGCCAAGGGTTGGTGGGCCAATGAAGACAGTTCAGGCTTAAAGAACAGTATGTGCAAATGCCCTGAGGGAAAAGTCAAGATGCCTGAGTACCCAAGGACTATCCTGATTCTAATCCTCATGACAGAGGCTTGCCCATCAGGAGAAAGCACCTAGTGCACTAAGATATCTGGACTGCTCAAAGCAGCGAAGAGCCACCATGGAGTGCTATGAACATACTCCCAGTTTTTTGGTTTTTATTTTATTTTTTGTCTTTTGAGACAGGGTCTCCCTGTAGCTGCAGCTGGCCTGGAACTCACTATGTAGACCAGGCTGGCCTTGAAAACTCAAGAGATCTGCCTGCTTCTGCTTCCTGAGTGCTGGGATTAAAGACACCACATCTGGCTAAGATCACATTGACAACAGTGTGGACAGACTGGAGAAAAGCATGGTTGGAGGTAGGGAGGCCAGCTCAAACCCATCTTTTTAATTTTTTATTTTATATATATTTATATATATTTTTTATTATTATTATTATTTTATGTGTATGAGTGTATTGACTGCATGTATGTGAGTGTACCCCATGTCTGGCAATGCCACAGAGGTCAGAAGACAGCTTCAGATTCCCCCTGGAACTGGAGTTAAGGATGGTTGGCAGCCACCATGTGGGTACTGGGAATCAAACCCGGGTCCTCTGCAAGAGCAGTCAGTGCTCTTAACTGCTGAGCCATCTCTCCAGCCCCTATTTTTTATATTAAAAAAAATATTTTTATTTTATGAGTGTGTTGCCTGCATATACGTAACTGCACTCATGTGGTGCAATGCCATGGAGGTCAGTAGAGGGCTTCGGACTCCCCTGGAACTGGAGTTAAAGACAGCTCGTAGCCACCATGTGGGTGCTAGGAATAGAACCCAGGTCCTCTTCAAGAGTAGTCAGGGCTCTTAACTGCTGAGCCATCTCTCCAGTCCCCATCTTTTTACTTTTGACACAGGGTCTTAAGTAGCCCAGGTTGGCCTGAAACTTGTCCCTCCCATCTCCACCTCCCAAGTGTTGGGATTACAGGATAATTGTTTTTGCCTCTGTGTTTCCTAACCTTTCTACATCACTTCCTAGAACACTATAATAGGAAAACAATAGTGTTTACTGATTTCCTTGAATGCCTCTTAAACTATACACTTCTTATTTTTACCTATTTTTTTTTTCTTTTTTGGTGGCGTTTCACTATGTAGCCTTAGTGGCTGGCCTGGAACTCACAGAGATCCACCTGCCTCTGCCTTGTGAGTGCTGGGATTATTAAGGAATATGCCACCACACCTGCCCCATGGTTTCACTCTTTAACCCAGGCTAGTTTCAAATTCTCAACATTCCTCCTGAGTGCTGGTGTTAACAGGAATGAGCCGCCATGCCCAGCTACTATGTCCTTCTTTTCAATTTTATTTTTATTGGGGGAGAATGGGAGATGTTGTGTATATGTGTGATGTGTGCACACCAAGGTAGACGCTGACACCACCATGCCTGACTTTTTACACAGGTTCTGGGGGTCTGAGCTCAGGTGAGTGTGCATACATGGTAGGCACTTCACTGGCTGAGCCATCTCCTCAGTCTCAGTGTGATTCTCGAAAAGAGAACCTGTGGTGTGTTTATCTTTGCATGCCTTAGCCTGTCTGGGATAGGAATTTGCTCATAAATGTTATGAAATATACCCAGCTGGGAACATACCAGCTCCACAGCCAAAACTAAAGCAGCTGACTTAAAGGGATGGTTTATGACTATCAAGGTAATAAAGACCAAACTCAAAACTGCCACATAAGTGTGGCAATAGTGCCACTGGATGCAGGCTCATATGTTAGGACCTCACCGGCATCGGAATCTTGGAGAGTTCTTTTCCAATGCAGTTCTTCATGATGCTCCATAAATTGAGGCTATAGTTTGGCTTATATGGTATCCTGGTTCTTTTCTCCTTCTTAGTCTCCTCCAGCTGATGCTTGTACTGGGAGTCAAAACAAAGCCATCAATCACCCACAAAGAAGAGAAAATCTGCTATTCATAACTTGCCCTTCCCCCACACTTAAAACTAAATAGCATTTTCTATCTCTCTTAGGACTTCACATACAAATCCTTGGGGATCCTACCTCAAGTCCCTCAACTCTGATAACTTCCATGTAAGAATTACCTGTTCATCAAGGCTGATGTCACTGCTGGCCCCACTGATATTACTACCAGTACGTCTGCATGGTGAGAAACAAAGAATCAGAGCAATGATCAGAGCTAAGGTCTGGTCGTCATCAGCTCTTTACAGAGCATAATTACAAGTACACTGCCTACACTTATTGATGGCCGATCAAGAATGACACAGATGGTTGTGAAATTGAGTATCGCTAGAGAAATTGTCACGTAAAAGACTGACATTTTTCCACTTAACAAAAAAAGAGCCCACATGTTAGTAAACACTACCTGATCAGATATTCTCACATGTATCATTGTACAATAGCAAGTGTGCTCACTTTAAGATAACTTACTTGTGGCCCAAATTTTCAGGCATGGTGATGATCTCTGGTGCATCAAAAAATTCATTCTCATCATCCTCATCACTCATGTCCCCTTTGCCAGAGCAGCACTGATCTGAAAAGAGAAAAGTCTCATTTGTTCTCTTTGGTTATATTTACCCAAGGCTTGGTACAGTAGGTTCTTTAGTATTTAAACCACAAACAGCAACAATAGCAGAAGGCAGTGGAAAGGCCAAAAGAAATAAATAGCTCCAAAGGCATCTCACATAGTATCTGACTCTGAAGAATGCCAGTCAATCACAGACACTACCTGGCTTGAATCAGAAGAGCTACACAAGAACACAGTGTCTTACCTTTACCAGAACCAGCACTGCCTGGCGTGTTGGCTGGCAGCACTGTGGCCCCCCGGAAGGCCCTCTCCAGGTGATTGTGCTGCTTTGCCAGCTGCTCCAGCGTCTCTTCCAGGCGGATTCGCTGGTCTCTTTCATACTGTAGTGACTTCTGCCACTTTTTACTATGGGTCTGGGCTAACATGAGGAAATCTCTGCAGGCCTGTACAGAGAAAGTGTTGTTTGTGTCACCTCAACCCGTCAGATTCCCCTTTGGCCTCTATAAGCCCATGAAGTAGCCTTATTCTGGGAACATGAGAAGGCACAGGACAATGAAATACTTCATGCGAGTCTACGGCATCAGCACAGTTAGCTCTGTGCTGCAATCAAGGTCAAATTCGGAAAAGAGTTAACATGGTTGTCATGGTTCTCTTAGTTTCCTGGTCATAAGGACCAAACAAATACCAAGTGAGCAGTAAACCTAGACAAGGTATTTGTGGGAACATCACAAAGGTCTGGCATGAGCTGTACCAGATCTACTGGCTAAAGAAAAAGCGTATGACAACTGCTTTCAATAAATTTCTAAACTCGAGCAACCCAAAACTGAGGAATTTAGATACCAAAAACAGAGAATCTGCATTGAATTACACTAGAAATGGGGGTAACTTAATTTTGCTTTTATTTTGGTTATTAGGGGAATTATTCTTAAAAATTTAACACTATTTGAGAAATCAAAGACAGAGAGAGGAGGAAAAAAAAACCACCAATCTGATTATATCAGTCCTTTTACTGACTCCTCATGATTAGGACCAAATCCTAATTACTAGTTTGAACACAAAGTGCCCCTCCCAGTATGGCTACCTGTCCCGTATTTGTCCTTACCTTTGCACACTACCAGACAGGCACACTGAACTACTCACCATTTCTTAGACACACAGACTTCTTCCAGGCCTAACTGTTAAGCATTTGCTACTCAGTCTGCTTACAATGGCCTTCCCTATCCCCTTTCTCTAGGAAAGATGTATGGCAGACAGTACTTCTGTGACCTGCCCTCCTAAACACCAGTTCTTTCCCACGTTTCCTTGCCAGTTTCAGCATGCTTCTATTAACACATGCACAGCAGTATCATGACTGATTGTCATGAGCAACTTTAAAACATACTTTATACCTTATTCATATACAGGCTTCCAGCTCCTAATGCATACTAGGAGCCTCATAAAGTTTACTTAATAAATAAAGAACCAATGTAAGCTTGAGTCTATTCCCCGTTACAGAGAAACTGAAAGGTTCTATTAGAATGTCTGCTCCCATGGTTTCAACAATTGCCTACAGGCCAACCAATGGCTACTAAATCAGAGATTCCAAACTGGCACGCATTGAGTTCAGACCAGAATATGCAACTGCTTATTCAATGGCTTGATATAACTTCAAAATCAGTGGATCTCACACTTACTAACCATATTCTCTAGCTACATCTGTTCCCCATCCCAACACAAGTTCCAGGGTCCTTCAAGATGCCCAAGCCAGTAATGTAAAGGGCACCCTTCTTTTAGTTTTACTTCCTTCCTCACATCCAAATACTAGATTCTATTGCTTCTCCTTTACTATTTTTGGGATCTGTACATTTCTTTCCATCCCTTAACACCAGAAGCAGTGGAGTATGCATCTAGAAACCAGTTTTATCCACCTATCTAGCTAGGAGGCTCTGGGCAAGTTAACTTCTCTGTGCCTCATCTTCATTGTCTATAAACAAAGAATAACAATAGCAATTTCCTCAAAGGGCTGTTTTACAAGGAGAGCATCTAGAACCATATGAGGCCCACAGTAAGCATTCAGTAAGGTGCTACCTATTGCAGTTTTTGCTTACATCAAGACCGGGTTCATCCTCTTCTGGTCTACTGCTAGACTACTAGCTGCATCTATGCTTCCTCTGACCTCCTCTCAAGCCTTACCTCTAGCTACTTCCTTGCACTAGCTCTAGTAGTCAGTCTCCAGTAGTTCCCAGACTGGAGAAGGAAGAGCCCAGATATGCCAAGTCACTACCCTGCCAACTCTTCTCCTGCATCTCCTGTTACTAATACTGAGCATAATTAAAATTTAGCAAGAGACAACAGTATGTCAGGCACTTTGCTGAGCATTTCACATAAACTACCTAAAGCTGTCCAACAACACTAAAAGATCTACTGTTATCAAACCACTTACAGATAAGGAATTGAGGTCACAGAGGATGTAGGTTGCCCTGGGTTATACAGAGGATGAAGGATGCAGTACAAGTCTACGCCCCACATCTACATTGCTTTTCTTTCTAGGAAGACTTTCACTGCTCCTTCAGCATTTAATTGAGGTGTTAGTTTCTCTAACTCTCCTAGTACAAGCTAAACACCTCCAATGTGCTATCCCAAGAAGACTTCGTGTCCATTCTGTTATAGCACTTAGCTGCCCAGACTGGCTTTGAACTCACGATCATCCGGCCTCAGCCTCCAGAGTGCTGAGAAAACAGGAATATGCCACATACCTGGCTCATTTTTAGTATGCATATTATACTTAAAGTCTTTCTGTTAACAACTGAAAGATACCAAGAAAGCAACCCAAGGATAAAAAATACATTTCAAGCTGGGCGTGGTGGCGCATGCCTGTAGTCCCAGCATTTAGGAGGCAGAAACAGGTGGATCTCTGTGAGTTCAAGGCCAGGCTGGTCTACATAGTGAATTTCAGGACAGCTGGGGCTACAGGGAAACCCTGCTTCAAAAAGACAAAAAAAAAAAAAAAAAAAAAAACAACAAAAAAAACCTTTCAAGTATTAACCACATTATGATAGGAACATAGACAACAAACAACAAACAAAGAGGAAGAAAACAGCTTACCTCTAGTGAGTTGTTTGATGTTTTAGTGTGTTTTGTGCTATGGATCCAACTCAGGATCTTGAACGTGCTAGGCACACACTGTACACCCCCACCCCCCCCCCCCCCCCACCTGAGAGCTTACTTCTGACTTCTAAGGGATCATTCCCTATATAAACTCTGGACCCTAAAACATGGGGATGAAGAACTTCCCAAGGAACAAAGATGAGGACTTTTAAAGAGAAAAGACCAAACTAAAAGTTTCAGTTTTATGAAGGGTGTTTTATTTAGTGAAATTTTCAGATTAAGAAAGCAGGGGGAGGACCACCACCAGGGAACTGAACATTCACTTGACATTGATAAAAAAAGCCTTCGTTCTTAGGTGACTGTTCTAAGTATGCCTATTTAGCACTGCTTTATTGACATGTTTGATTGTATCAGGTTTTCCTGATCACAAGGGCACCAAACAACCCCACAGTTACTAAGCAGTCCAACAGACTGGAAAAGGCACACAAACAGACACCAGAAGCACCCACAGCAGCACTGGCCTGCTGAGTGGTCCTGAGTACTTTGTTTTCCTCCAATCCCTAAATGGAGAAAATAATGCCTTCTTTCTACCTGGGTAAAGGCGAGCACTGAAGGTGCTTAACACTTCAGAAGTAAATAAAATAAAGGTCATCATAACTTCTACAAGTAACAAAGAAGCAAAATGAGAAAAAATTAAATTTACTCCTGGTCAAAGGAAAAGGTCCTTGTTGTTCAGCAGCTATGTGAACTAAACCAGCTCTAAGCAAAGGTCTCACCAGCAGTCCCTAAACAAGGAGAAATCTGGCACTAGTGAGGTAATTTTATCCACTTAATGTGGGGGGGGGGCTCTCTACAGAACTCTTTCTCACAGAATACACATCTAACTTGTACGATATCCTCAAGTGTTTCTCTGTGCAAGGAAACTGAAACAAGCTGCTGGGTGAGTGGTCACCAGCAGGGAAAGAGCACTGCTAAGACCCTGTGCTCATCCACACCTATCAACACACTAGCAATGGCAGCGAAGCTTTGTTCACCTACAGTCGTCTTTGCACCCAAGTAGATAAAATATCCCACAAACCAGCAACAGCCACTGAAGGAATCAGAAGCAGAAGCATCGTCCTTTCTTTTCCAAAAGCTATGTACCCAAAGTCGAGCATTCTGACTTATCAACAGAAGTGCCCTTGAAATCAAAGACTGAAATTGTACTAACTAGTATTACAAATTTGCACTACTCCTTGATCCAGGCCCCACTCGGCATCCTGAATGCCAGAATGCGTCAGCCATGTGACACCAAGTAGGAACAAGAAAACAAAGAGTACAGTGGTGGAAAGGACTGTGGAGATACTTTAGCTCCATGTGTTGTGGCACATGCCTTTAATCCCAGCACTTGGGAGGCAGAGGCAGGTGGATCTCTGAGTTCAAGGCCAGCCTAGTCTACATAGTGAGTTCCCATGGGGCTACAGGGAGACCCCGGACTCAAAAAGACCAAAAATAAATAAATAAATAAGCAAAATTATAACCCAGAGAAATTCAGAGACTCAACTAGTACCACCAGAAGATACCCTGCTCATTACAGAAACAAGACTGGACCTCTGGACTCTTAACTCCCAGACTGATACAATGTCCTTCTGACCAGTTGAGCAAAGCATGAAAGTCATTCCACCTGGGCAGCCTGTTCCAGTTCATGGAACAGAAAATGTAACTTAAAGCACTTGGTCAATGAAGCAAGACCTGATACTCAGTACTCACGTTGATCATGGCATTGGATGTTATCCTAAAGAGCGTAGCTCGTTCGTTGACCTGTTTGATCTTCTCGTTGCTCTCAGCAGGCAGCTTCAGGGACTCTAGCTCACTGAGGGAGCGCTGCAGGGCAGTGCCGTGCTTAGCTATCAAGTCATTACATGTGCTCAGGTCCTCCACTTTGCTGGAGAGGGTTCGGAGGGTGTTCTGCAGTTCAGTCTTGTCAGTTTGTGAGACAGACTCTTCATCTCCAGATTCATCTACAGGGATGCCAAGTTAAGTTATGCTTCTAGGACCAGGACCAAGAGTTGGAACCGTACCTACTCTGCCCACAAGCAGTCATAACTCATGATGTACATTCTGACTGACTGAGGGGTTGCCCTTCCAGAAGATTCCTCTACAGTGTGGTCCATGGCCTGTACTATAAACACCTGAGGTGTTTTGGAAAGATGTAGTCTGGTGGCACTCCCAGATTGTTAAATTCAGACAGTGAGAGGCAAGGCCTGGGGACCTGCATTTTTCTTCTCTTTTAAAAAAATTACAATTACTTATAATTACAATTATCAGGTGGGGAGCTGGGCGACATACATGTGCCATGGCGTGCAGGTAGCAGCCAGAGGATAACCTGTGGAAGTTGGTTCTCTTCCTCCACTTCATGGGTCTCAACAATGGTCAAGTTGTCATGTTGGCAAAAAATGCCCTTGTGCATTGAGCCATTCACCAGCTCAGAACTGCATTGCTAATAAGTGGCCCAAGTATTTCTCATCTATGCTGAAGTTTAAGATCCACTGACCTAAAGGATATTGGAAACATATTACTAAACCTTCAACATTTTTTTTTTTTGAGGTACCATCTCATGTAGCCCAGGTTGGCCTTGTACTCCTATGTAGCCAAGGATGGTTTTGAACTCCTGACTCTCCTGCCTCTACCTCCCAAGTGCTAGAAATACAGACGTGTACTACCACATCTGGTTTACATGGTACTGGGCAATCAAAGGCTTTACACATAAGAGGAAAACACTGTATCAACTGAGCTACATTCCCAGCCCAAGCCTTTAAACTTTAGCTTGAGGATTCCAATCTAGACCAAACTAATTATTATTGCAAATCCACCATTATCTTTTGGGTAATTGGCTGGCCCTCTGCAAAAATGGGTTGTGAACTGTAGTCTGGCTTCTTGAGATAAAGTACACATCACTAACAGCCCTAGTAATTTATCTTCTCTGAAGGAGAGCCAGACTTCATGATGAACTTATTTGACACTAAAGTCACTCTAAAAGCAAAACAAGGTTTTATATTAAATAGCTCTCCAATCATAAATCAAGTAAGGAAGCTGTGCTGTACCTCTCTATCAGTTTTGTACTTAGCAGTTTGTAATAGCAAGGTGTGTTTTCCAGCAGTGTCACTCCTTTGGGGGAGCTAACATCAGCACTAAAACTAGACAAAAGGAGTAAGAAAAGACTTGCCCTGTTTGCTAGGCAAAACATAACCCGTTACCAAAAAATTTACAAAGGAACAAATTTTCCTCTCATGCCTTAATAGATAGTAAATGTGCTGGGCATGGTGGCACACACCTTTAGTCCTAGCACTCAGGAGGCAGAGGCAGGCAGATCTCTCTGAGTTCAAGGCCAGCCTGGTCTACATAGTGAGTTCTAGGTCAGCTGGGGCTACAGGGAGATCCTATCTCAAAAAAAAAAATTGAAAAAAAAACCAGCTAGATTTTTTTTAAAAAGATGTGCTTCTTTCTTTTTGAGACGGGGTCTCCCTGTTGCCACAGCTGACCTGGATTCGCTATAGAGACCAAGCTGACCTTGAACTCACAGAGATCAACCTGCCTCTCCTTCCTGAGTGCTGGAATTAAAGGCATGTGCCACTATGGCTGGCATTAAAAGATGTACTTTTATTATTTTTAATATGCACATGGGGATGTGCATGTGAGTGCAGGTGGCTGTGGAGGCCAGAGGCATTGGATCCTCTTGTAGCTCGAGTTACAGATAGTTGTAAACTTCCTGACATGGGTGCAGGGAGCCAAAATCAGCTCCTCTACAGAGCAGTGTAAGCTCAAATGCCCAGCCATCTCTCCAGCCCGGACAGATTGGTTTCTGGGTCATCCACTAAGATTGCTACAACATGGGCTGGAGAAATGCCTCAGCCACTAAAGGCTCACACTCAAAAGCAAAAGATTGTTGCAACTTTAACAAACAAGAGGGTATCAAAGCTGGGCATGGTGGCACAGGCTTGTTATTACAGCACTTGAGAGGTAGAGGTGGAAGAATCAGGAATTTAAGCTCATCTTAACTAGAGAGTGAGTTTAAGGTGAGCCTGAGCCACACATGAGACTGTCTTTTTTTTCTTTTCGTCTTTTTGAGACAGGGTCTCCCTGTAGCCCCAGCTGTCCTGGAACTCACTATGTAGACCAGGCTAGCCTTGAACCCAAGAGATCCACCTGCCTCTGCCTCCAAAGTGCTAGGATTAAAGGTGTGCACCACCTCACCCAGCCTATGAGACTGGTCTTTTAAAAAAAGAAAAAAAGAAAAAGAAAAAAGCAGCAGTAGCTATCAGAAAAAAAAAAAAAATAGTAAGCTGGGTGTGGGGGCACATGTCTTTAATCCCAGCACTTGGGAGGCAGAGGCAGACAGATCTCTGAGTTCGAGGCCAGCCTGGTCTATCTACATAGCAAGTTTCAGGTCAGCTGGGACTACAGGGAGACCCTGTCTCAAAAAGACCAAAAAAAAAAAAAAAGTATAGATAGGTCCAAATATGAGTTTTAAGAATCCTTAATACTGACCTAGTAATAAAGTAATTAAGGAAGTCAACTGGCATTAAAAATAAAAGCATGCTGGGCATGGTAGCACATGCCTTTAGTCCCAGCAGAAAAGCAGAGGCTGGCAGATTTTGTGAAATGGAGGCCAGCCTCATCTATATAGCAGGTTCCTGGCCGGATGGGGCTACTGGGAGACAATGTCTCAGAAACAACAACAACAAAAACAACAACAACAACAAAAAAACAAGTGTTAAGTCTCTAGGACAAAAGTTTTCAGCTTCAGCTAGCTAAATCTTTGTCGTGGGGGTCTACTCTGTGCCTCAAAAGGAGCTAGGCAGTATCTCTGGCTTCAATTCTCTAGATGCCAGTAAATATCCCCATCCTTCCACTATGACAACTAAAAATGTCTCGATATTACCATTACATTATGAGAGAGAGAGAGAGAGAGAGAGAGAGAGAGAGGACTGAACTCAGGTGAGAACTTTCAGTCAAGAGAAACACTGTACAGTGAAACAGCACAGTCAGGGGTAAAAATTTGCGTATAAGAGGAGCAGACCGAAAGTTCCCCAGGCCCAGTGTCTTTGCTCCCTACCTGACTCTGCCAGCATCTTCACAGCCTTGGCCTTAGCCAGTTCTAGGGCTGTCACCCAGCGCTGCCTCTCTACTTCTGAGCTAGCCTTGAGGTGGTAGGTCTGGGCACCCCCATTGGAAATGATAAAGTTGCAGGAGTCCTCCACAGTGATGTTGGCTGTGGCCAGGTTAATGGTACCCCGGCAGGTATGTCTCATTTCTGCCTTTGACCTGCATTAACAAGACAAAGAAAAGTAAACAGAAAGGTGATTAAGTGCTTATCTCTTTTCATAACTCTGAGCACTTTGAAAATTCTGTAGTCTTAGGAATCAATAGCTTGTTGTAGTTCCTTCAAACAGCCTTTGAAAACTTAAGAAGTAGGAAATTCCTTTTAGAGTCTGTAAGTATTGTTTGAGTCAGAGTTTATTTCCCCACTTTTCCTCTCACTATTAGCTTTTAAAAACAGTGATTATTGAGATAGAATTATATGCAATATTAATTGAGCAATTCATTCAGTAAAACCGAATGAGTTTTGACAAGTGGATACAATCTTGCAACCACTACCACCATCAAGATATAGAATTGCCCTCACATCACAAAGCTCCCTCATGCTGTGTGCAGCCACGAATTATTTTCTAGTTAGCAAGTTATAAAGTGCTTTATAACCTTGGGAACACAACTTTTAAACAATCTCATTCTCTAAGAATAATTCCATTTTTAAATACTGAGCCGTCCCCCTCACTGTAAATCAGCCCAAATGAAAGCTGTCACACTATGCTTAGGATTATATTGAAAAAGTGTATAAAAAGACAAACCTTAAAAGATTCAACTATTAAATACTGGCTAAGGCTCACATAAAATGTAAGAAAAACTAGCTGTTTGTAATGATAAAGACTAATCCTATCAGAATTGCCAGGCTCTTTGATCTTTCTGGAAAATGTCCTTTCCTAAGTTCCACAGATTTTTATTGGTGGGAACTCCAAAGCCATCCTATTAATAGCTAGGAAAGACTCAGCAGATCTGCACTCAGAGGACTGGGTGTAAAAATTTCCCCAATCTCTACTGACAATTCTATTAATAGACTAACTTTTGAACTTTACAATAGTACTTGGTGACAAGATACAAGGCACTTGACATAAAATACCAAGCTGCGCATAAAACATCAAGCTTCCAGCACAATTTGTATTGTGTATATCGAGTACACAGCAAAAACTGCACTTATTTCTACCTGCAGATTGAGACTGTAGTTTTCCCCATCCAACTGGGAACATGAAGAGGTCAAAGTCCTTTGCCAGTTGCCACAGTACAAAGCAGTGGAGCCAAGCAGCCAAACACACCTGGCACATCCAGAATTCCTGCATGCCAGAAATGGCACACACCCCATGTCCAGACACTAAGATTTGGTATGTTTGAGAAGGTCTGTTTTCTGCACTTAAGAAGACAGACTTGCTGTTGTGCACTTTGTCACATGAAACACTTTTTTCTTTCTAAAATGTACAATGAGCAATAAGGGATCTCCAGGGGGTCTCAAAGGCCTGGCCATTTTCCATGCCCTGCACCTGCCACACTGTAACATGAATCCCTGCTTTTTCTATTCTTACCTCCCCACTCCCAAGCTTCGGTTACATTCTGAATAATGCAGGCTGAATTACAGACCCAAGGCTGACAGGCCAGCTCACCCTTACTCCTTGGACCCTCCACCACATTCTTCCTTATTGGCACTTTTCACCAACCACTTCCTAGGAATCTCTTCTGCCTTGGTCATCTTCATACACTAAAGAAGTTTTTCAAATAATGTAAGGTCTATAGCAGTTTAACAGATATTAAGGAAATCTGGAAGCAAGGCAAGCTTGCCCATAGAGCTCTCTGAATTGGGCAAATATGCCTATTAGAGGCTAGAAAGACATGATTCTGAGTGTACAAGAAACGTCATTCAGTCACTGCAGTGTTAACATGGTTATTTTCTAGTTAGATGAAATAGTAATTTACTCTTGAGAGGCTAGGCAGGAAAACTAATACTCTAGGGTACCATGATGTTTCCAGGAGAGCTAAGATCCTACATAAGAGTTTAAGCTATGCAGCTGGGCCTGGTGGCACACACCTTTAGTCCCAGCGCTCGGGAAGCAGAGGCAGGCAGATCTATGTGAGTTCAAGGCCAGCCTGGTCTACATAGCAAGAGTTCCAGGGAGATCCTGTCTCAAAAAGACCGAAAAAAAAAAGTTTAAGTTATGTGAAGTCTATGTAAGAAAGCACAGGAAAGATACAAAGAAGGAAATGGCTTGCCAAGGTCTGCTACCCTCTGTCATCAGAGGACGGAGTCTGCGAAGGAAAAAGGTATTTTGGAAATGACATCCACAAGATTGCAGCTTTTGGATGTATGAAAATCAGAGGAAGAACGACAACATAGCCATATAATTCTAGGAAGGAGCTGGGGATCACAAGAACCCTACTAGGAAGAATAAACTGCCAACACAGTAAAGGAGGTACTTCACTGCAGTTCTGAAGGTAGGGGTACTGCACAGGCATGATAAACTGAACTCTGTTGCTTGGGTGGTTTGTGGGTGGAACCAAACTAGTTGTCAAGGAAAGGCCAATGGCCTACTTCCCAAACCTATGGGCATGTTTTGAAAAGAATTGTATTTGGAGTCAGACAGGTACCACTAGCTATTGTGAGAAAGAAGGCAAAAATAGCAACAAATGCTTGAAAAGACAGCACCAAGAAGTCATTCATGTCCCAGGTCAATATTAATCAAGATTGGTACTAAACAGAGAATCAACTACCCTGGAAAGCAGACAGTGTAAGAACTTGGATGAATTAAAAAGATCATGTACTAGTAAAGTCCTTGACTAATGTACAATTTTTGAAAGTAGGAAATCAGTGTTATTAGTGATTTATGAACCAAGTCAGGATATGAATCACTGAACATTAAAATAATAATTATAACAAATTAACATGAACTTGAGTAGGAAAAAAAAAACAAAAAAACTGGGACAAACTAAAATTTTAGATGTATAATATAACCTTAAGCTGACAGTCCCAGATGAGCAGCCAGAAAGGGTTACATTCAAATGAATTCAGAACACAGTAATGCAAACGATACAGCTGTTCACAATTAATGCTGCTGGAGGCTGGAGGCTGGAGGCTGAGCTAAGCCATCTTCTACAATTAAGGACAGGTAAGAATGCTTTCCCACCAACAACCTCCAAGTCTTGCTTCTCAAAATTCTCTGAGTCAATCCAGTGGGTGTTGATGGGAAAGAGATTTGTTTGCCCTGACTCTCCTGCTAGCAGGGTGGGAAACAGGAAAGATTTCAGTAAGAAATGGCATTATATTAAGCAAAAGCTCTCTGAAAATATACTTTTGTAGTTTTTATGTGTATGAATGTTTGCCTGCAAGTATGTATGTATGTACAAGTGAGTGCCTAGTGACCACAGAGGCCAGGATCCCCTGGAAGTGGAGCTACAGAGGGGTGTGACCTGGGAACTGAACCTGGGTTTTCTGCAAGAGCTTATTTGCTTTAGATAAGTAATTATCTCTGTGTCTAATTGATTCCTATAACTTAGGTTTTAGGTTACATTGATGTGAACAGTAGTTTCAAATCCTTATTTCTCCAAGACCTCGAGAAAGTTGCCGGAGCTAAGTCTGTTTCCTTGTCAGGATGATAGGGGTACATCCTAAGTGCCGGGATGATGGGAGACAGAGTGAAATACTGTATGTAAAGCATGCAGCCACAATGCCCAGCTCCGCAATGTTTATGTCCCATCCCCAAGTCACCTATCTCAACACCTCTATCTATAGTAACATAAGTACCAAAGTGTGTTATGTCATGACCAGCTTGTGAGTCACCGAAAGTGCACACTGACCATTCCAAAATAAGCATTATGGAACACAATCATAAATTCTTCCTTTAATAAAACTTAAATCTGGGCAGAACATGGTGGCGCATGCCTTTAATCCCAGTGCTCAGGAGGCAGAGGCAGGCAGATTTCTTTGAGTTCTGTGGGGCTACAGGGAGACCCTATCACAAAAAAAGACCAAAAAAAACCTTACTGTTAAGTAACTATAAGGATCATAGTAGACAGTCAGTGCTGTGGGAGGAGGCTGTCCAGACTGTAAGTGCAGCTCTTGGACAGGTAAGACACACGGGGAACAGAATCCCAATGCCACTTTATATATGGTGTCCTGATGCCTAAATGTGGAGGGAGGGAGCAAGGGCAGGTATATCAAGGGTATATCGACAGCCCTGAATTTTAGAGACTGGGGAGGCAGACTTGGGACTTGCACCTAAGTTCCCGAGGGGCAGTGCCCAGGCTGGACCGTCCTGCCCGCCTGCGCCCTAAAAGCCCCAACACAGTGCCCGGCTTGCAGAATCAGCAGCTGCACGCATGTGGTGGCGGAAATACAATGGAATGGCAGATGCTCGCCCAACAACTGCTGACAGGAGGCCAGGAGATGCAGGTGCGGTGGGTGACAGCGGGGCCGGGTCCAACCCTGAGGCTTCGCCTTTCAGGATGGCGGGCTCCTGCTGCGAGCTGATAGTGCGCGCAGGTGACAGGCAGGGACCCGGGCGACCTTGGGCGGCAGGTGACAGCGCGGGGGCCCCAGGTGAGCGCGACGCCCCGGAAGCAGTTACCTGTAATAGCTCAGCAGCCCGTTGCTCAGCACGAACCACCGCCGCTGGTAGCCTTTGATGTAATTGGTCCATTTGAAGAGCCAGCCCTCTCGAGCCGAGCCCGAGCCCCCGGCGCCGGAGCCGCCCGA